TCGCTCGGCCCTCCAGGACACGGTCCTCTAGGCTCCCAGGCCTCTCCTACATCAGCAGTAGAACTCTGGCCCTCACCAGGCTGTGGAGCTCTATAGAAACGCCCCGCATGGTCTCTATAGATCCCAGTAACAGCATGAACCCCAGTAACGACAGGTGACGCAATGCTGGGGCACCTCTGTCTCTGATCGGACAGACTCGTGGAATACGATACTCAACAGCATCCGACTCATACTCCTCCGACTCGTCGTCAATCTCGTCTGAAGGCTCAAACGGTGAAGTATGATGATCAATACTGGGACCAGCTCCACTACCACCCATACTAGGCATCCGAAAGTCAAACTGAGGGAAACCGTCTGCCCTATATCTCATCGGTGTCACCTGTGGCTGTGGCTGAGGCTGTGGCTCATGTCTATCATTTCGGTCCTTATTTCTCACACTAGCGCTAATGTTACGCCCAATGAATCTTTTCAATATCTTTCCTGGTCCTCCAGAACTACGTGATCCTCCAGAATTACCAGATGACGCCATCTCTAAATATAGACAATAATTTTCTATTAATATCTTATTGAAAATTATTTGTTGAGCAATTACTTGTTGTTTTATAGAGTAATTATGATACATACAATTTATTTCGTTTGATTTTACTTAATTTAACTAGATAGTTATTTTACTTAATACGATAGGTAGTTATTTAAATATTTATTTCAACTTACTCAATTACTTAACTAAAACATCATAGATAATTATTTAAAATTAACAATTTATTTAATCCAATAATTCTTTACATATTTATTATAATAAATGATCTATTAGCATAGTCCATAATTATCTATTAATCTCTTATAATAAATTATTTGATTAGCAATTTGTTCATATTCATAATTTATCAATTACTAATTATGATATATACAACTTGATTATCTAATTAATTTAACTAGATAGTTACTTTACAATATATAGTTATTTAAATAATTATTTCAACTTACCCAATTAATAAACTAACACATTATATAATTATCAATTATATACTAATTATTCAACTATCAATACTAAAATAATTAAGATACTAACAATTGTATTTAAAATAAATACAATAAATATTAATTTAAATCGAACCCGAAACCCAATCAGATCGGTCCGACCAGACCGGGCGGACGGGGTCCGCTCCGGCCAGGCGGACGGCGGCGATACTGTTTTAAAAAAAAAAACCTCGACGATGACTGGAACAGCGGCGGCGGCGGCTTCTCCTGGGCGGCGACTGCTTCTCCTGGGCGGTGGCGGCGAGCAGAGGAGCGGGAAGGCAGCGGCGGCGCGTCGGGGAGCAGAGAGCAACAGAGGGGGAAGGCGGCGGCGGCTCGTCGGCGAATAGAGGGGGTGGGGTGGGGGGGTCGTCGCAGAGAGCAGAGGGGGTGGGGTGGGGTGGGGGTTGGGGGTGGGTGGGAGGGGGAGGAGGTGGATAGATAGGGTTAGGGGGGCAGGGGCACATTCGTCTTTTCTGTCCTAACTATGGGCGGCAAATAGTAAAACGACGGGCGGCAAATAAGGATTCATAATATTATTCCCTCTCCAACCCTCAAATTATTAATCTTCTCTGTTCCTTTTACCTTCACCATCTTGTTTGTTTTTTCTTCATACGTGATGATGGAAAATGATAAAGTTTTGGGTTAAAAGAAAACAAATCCAATGTGTGTTTCAGTTTTGGGTGCGTTTTTGGCTGTTCCGTATTTTCTTTCTACAAATTGCACTTTGAAAGATTGATTATAGTGAGGAATAAAATGAAACACAGTGGGTTCAAAACTTGAGAAAATTATCTCATGACAAACGGTTAAAATCAAATCATGCTTGAGGCTTGATAAATACAACAAAGGAAAGCGAAACGCTGAGTGAAAACATTCTCCCGAAGGAGATGAACACTTCAACAAACGTAGTACTCATAATCCCTCTCGCTTCCAACCAAACAGAGTACGTAGTAGCAAAATTATCCGGATTAGCTCGTCCAATCACAAGGGAGTCCATGGCAATAGAGCATTAGCAATGTTATGTGTCGTGACCTGGAGATTGCTCAAAGACATCCAACACAATGAATCACAGATTTAAAATTACATGGCAATGGATACGAACATATTGCTCAAAGCTAAAGAGAGGCAAAGAGATCGTGTCCAAGGAGGAGCAGAAGATCCTATAAAAACTCCATATAACTCCACGGAAACACCGAGCCAACACTTCAACAAGCCGGGACGGAAACCATATGTCATTCTTCCACTTGCATATTGCTACGAAAATTATCACTTTATCAACTCTATCATCCTCAAATTATTTAGAAGTTCATAATATTGTATCGGTTTAAATGCACTAAAAACAATTCTAGGAGTGTATTAGTAATTTAGAATCCTAGTTAAAAAAAAAATGTATCACTCCTTACATTATTTGAATAAAATGAAAAAGAAGTAGTCTTTTCAATCCAATTTCTTGAGTTTTTCTTTCTTTCATGCCATGATCATCGAATAGTACGTCTTTGCACCTTCTTTAACAAGCACAAATGCGTACCATTCACTTTCTTGTGAGGTTCTGTTTTCCTTCTGTCCTCCCCAATTCTTATTCATCAGATGGTGGGGAATTTTCCACGTGCCAATCCCCTGCTTGTCTATATATATTACACAAACAATTGATCGAAATTTCCATTGAAATCAAGCTTAACAGCAACCTTTTATGGCCAAAGACAAAGAAAGCTAAGCACCTAACTGATTAACTTGGCTGCTCTCGAAAACTATTGATTTGACTACGTATAATATTCTAATCCAAATCTAAAAACCAATCAATTAATCTGATCGCTGACTATAACCTGAATGATACATGATACCTAGTTAGATAAAATGGCAAAATTTTCTGCCTATGGAGGATTTGGAGAGGAATAAAAATCATTTTGCTAGCTTGAGCAGCTATGGCATATCTTATTTTCATTAATCACGATCGAATTGATTTCGTGAATATATATGATGTACTTTTATGAGCACAAATATGGTTTGATTAACGAATGTCACTTCCAGCAAAGAGGAATAATCTTGGTGGGTGGAGAATGATGAATCAAATTATTAAATTTAATATATGACCAAATTGAATTCACCTAGCTTTCACTACAAAATATAACACATACAATAGGGTTTTTTTTTTTACTTTTAGCAATGGAAACAACCGTCGCTAACCAGCCCGGCAGCGGTTTTCGTAAGCGCAGCAGAACCGTTGCAAAACTAACCGTCGCAAATGTATACCAGCGGTCTGCCCAACCGCTGGTGGATGTCCTTGCATCGGTTTAGCAACGGTTTTTATGGTCGCAATAGGTCTTTTTTTGTACGGTGGAATCAGTTCTTTTGCTGCGATTATAAGTACATTAGCGACGGGTTTGAACCCCTGCCATTTTGGCTAAATATTTCGCAGCACTTACAACCCCTTCATACGTTTTTTAGTGAGCATTTTTTGTGACCATTTTTTTTTGTGACTAATACCTCTGCATAAACAGCCTGCTACAACTTTCAAATTTTCTATATATTTCTAGAACCCCTCCAACGTGCTGCAACATTTCAAATTTTTCATACATATAAAAGTACCTTGACAGTCTATATCCATGTCATAAATTTGCAAACTTCCAAAGTACATAATCCTCTGCATGATAGTTCCAACAATAGAAATTAACTCGCCTTATCCTGTATAAACTTGAACAACAACTAATATCAAAGAAATGCAAACTTGATGACATAAAATGTTCCAGCCAAATCCATGATATTGAACTCGACTTTCTTTTGAATCTCCAACATTATTATGCAGTGCACGGTTTTGAAACTCATCTTATCCGGTTAAGAAGCCAACCAAAACAAATAGAAGCCATAAGCAAGTGTGACCAAACAAACAACCATCAGAAGTAGTTCCTGAATGAAAAGACTATGCATCTATCCCAAACGAATTGCTTGGCTTTATGATTCAAAATAAACCAAAGTAAACAAGGGGCAGACATCATAAGCAAGGAAAATGAACTATCCCTAACGGATTGCTTGGCTTTATGATTCGAAAGAAACCAAAGCAAACTAGGGGCAGACATCATAAGCAAGGAAAATATGCGTCTTTTTCTTACTTACCTTTCGTTAGCCCCGTGTAGCCCTCTGACTTGATAAAGATGGTGCACAAAATGAACCCTCCATTGACCCCTTCTCCCTAAGAAGATGTTGCAAGAACAATGTCTTCAGTGCATCTACTTCTATTTGCAACTGTTCCATCCCACTTCCCAGCCGACCAACCTCACTTTTAAGTTCAACCACCTCAGTTTTCAGTTCCACCACCTCAATTTCTAGAGCAACTACCTCATTAGAGTACAATGTTGTGAAAGTATTTGTTGAGGCTGAAGAAGAAGGCTCAAAATAGGTCGATGGTGTTGGTCCCAAGCCAGCACAACGAACCCTGCCAGGATGCTCTGGCCCATGCAGCGTTCGAAAGATCTGTTCATTATCAGAAGTCCCTTCTTGTCGTAGAGTATGTGCCTTTTCCTACACAAAGGATTCAAGTATAAACCACATCAGATTGCTCCTTTCTGGAAATCTACTTATCCATTACTAAGCATAACACACCCAATGCACAATATATCTTCTGCTCACTAGCAGCAACAGCCATGAAAGTTCTTTATTCTTCCTTTAAAACAAAACAATGGGGAAAGAAAGAAAACAACCCACTTAGATTACCACAACACTACACTTGCTCCTTTAAAAGTAAGAAAAGAGGTAAAACAGTAAGAAACTCTTACAATTAGGGTTGCTGTATACTCATTCACATAGGTCCCATCCTTTCTTGTATGAGTATTCTCAAAAGTTTCCAGCCTATCAGGTTCTTTTCCAGTTTGCTGAACCTAATAAACATAGGGAGAAAAATACCACAATCTGTAAATGTCACTATTAAGTTTGTAACGAAAATCAAACAACTCCAAAAAAGTAAAAGACATACTTGTATATCCTTCCACCTAGCAAAGCTCATCTTTCCACAAGTATGTGGAGTCTTCATGTTGCTAGCATTTTCAGCGTTTTGCTTACTTAGTCTCTACAAATGTTAAAGAAGTTTAAGAAGTTAAAATTAAAACAAATATGATGACCAAAAATTGAATAAAGTAAATTTGTTCATACCTGAAAGTCTTCAGTTTACCAACGATTAACCAAAGTCTGCCAATGAGTATCAATAACGTCTGTAGGGTTCGGTTTTTCAAGAACTTCTTCAACGGACAGTTCGGGATCATAATATAAACTTTTTAGTTTTGTCTTGTGGTCGCTCCACCTTCTATTCACATTTTTCAGAATCCATTTGGTGGTAGCAGGTGGATATCGAAATTTGGTCTGGATCAAAATAAAAGAAAATTAGTCTCTCATTTAGTGGAAATAGTCGTGGTTTCATTCCTGCAAGTAGGAAGTCCTAAGCACATATTGACCAGCATGTCTTTCCTCTTTCTTTATTCTAATCCGTTTTAGTTACATACCACTATTGACAACTTTGAAGTAATTATTTTAATTAAAGGGAAAGAAAGTGATCAGAAAAAACCAGAGTGTAAAAAAAAAGACTCAAAAGGCTCTCAAACATATATACATCCCTGTCATTTCTTAGGCTGCTTATACAATAAGGGAACATACGTGAACAAGATACAGTATCTTTGCTTTATAAGGACGAAACTCAGCCTTTCTCCAATTAAGCTCCAAGGGTGCAAACAACCCGTTTCTCGCCACAACTCCTAGGAATGATGCAAATAAGCCTGACTCGGGACCACATGGAACTCCATGTCTATTAACCTCGACATCAACCCTTTCATTAGGATCCATGTTCCATAGATCAGCTAGGACTGTTGGTCCTCTCCTTCTGAATCTTCTCCCGTTGTTGTCTACATACAAGCATAAACATAGGTAGTAAATCCATATCACTTGGGGTATCAAGAATTCAGGGTAAACAGTAACACAATATTACAATTATTGGAAATATGACCTTACCAACATAGGTAGTAAATTCATCCTCGTTAGTTCCCTCAACCCCATTTGAAGTTTGCCCAATTGATTGCTCCCCTGCAGCTCGATTATTGCTTTGAGGGTGTGACTCCCTCTGAACTTGTCCCCTTACTGATTGCTCCCCTACAGCCTGGTTGTTGCTTTGACGGTGTGACTCCCTCTGCACCTGTCCTCATACCGATTACTCCCCTACAGCCTGGTTGTTGTTTTGAGGGTGTGACTCCCTCTGAACCTGTCCCCTTATCGGTTGCTCCTCTACAACCTGGTTGTTGCTTTGAGGGTGTGACTCCCTCACAACTTTGTCTTTTCAAATTTCGTCCATGTCTTACCACAATGTAGTGGATATCAAGGCTGCAATTGACTACAAGATGAGAGAAAAACTATTATTGACTACAAGATGAGCAGAACAGAGCAGCAAAACCAAGCCGAGTAATAACACAACTCACATGTTGGTAAATATTATGGTATTCTCACAATATACCACAAGCCAAGTGATGCATCATTCTCTCCCCAACCAAATACACTAATGTTGCAGCAGACAGCTACCCCTAAACATGCTCCAAGATTGTTTATGGTGATCCTACAACAGTGATATAATTGAGCTAATCATTGTATACCTGGATCGAGCTAGCTATTCTGATTTAACAATGGTGAAGCCAGCAACGAAGGAAGCAACCAAGTCTTTTCTGCAAAAGAAACAAGATATAAGTTATGTTAGTATATAAAATAAGAATAAAGAAAGGAACTGTAGTAGGAACAAGTTTCCCAACAAGTTGGAACCTTAACTCCAAGTACAAACAGTAGGCTGAAATCTACACAATAAACTCCTTTTCCACATCAGTTCGCACCCAAGTAGGGCAATCTTGAACATCTAAGCTACCGAAAGCACTTGGTCGAGAAAATATCATATCCTCCAAGTCATCTTCCCCCATGTCGTACGTGTCTCTAGGCTTAAATCTTATTACAACAGACCAGCCCATATTCCTTGGATCATCCACATAAAATACTTGATCTACTTGTGAAGAAAATACAAATGGATCATCATTGAGATTATCTCAAGTATGGATAAGCCTGGAAAAGTTCACCGATGTAAAACCAAACTCATCTTGCTCCATGCCTAAGTGATGGTGAACATCAGCCCAATCGCATTTAAACAATACGACCCTAAAACTACCGTAGTAGTTTAATTCAATGATGTCTGTCAATATACCATAGTAATTAACTTGTCCTACTTCAGTTACATTAACAACACCACTGTTTTGTGTTGATAGGTCCTTCTCCCTTGAGGTAGTATGGAACCTAAGACCCTTGATTGAGTATCCTGAAAACCTACGTATTACACGGTTTGGACCTCTAGCAAGAACCTTAATTTCTTCGGGGACACTTGGATCATCTTGAACCTAAAACATAAATAGATCAGATGTATAAGTTAAAGTCCCCTTTTAACTGTACAATTTTTAATTTAAATGATTATCTCAGAAAGAGCTTACTTCTGCCAGAAACCAATTTTGAAACTTTTCATTCACCAATTTGTCAATATTTTCCCTGCTTAGGCGAGTATGATTACGTCGTTTCTTCTTCTCCATGAAGATGAATTTTCTAGGTTAAAAAACAATAATGAGATCACTATTTAAATTAATTACAATAGAACTGAACTTATATGACTATACTTACTGTCGAAAGGTTTCAATCTCATCGCGATGTCGCAAAACATAACGATGTGCTTTCTGCCATGATCTTTCACCTAAGCGGGCATCTTCAGCCATTCCTATATGTTGCCCTCTAGAACCAAATTTGTAATCAATGCCATCATCATTCACACATGCATCCGGATTCCTTATTGGCCTATTGAATCGTGTTTCAACGCCTTCTAGATAGCGTGAAGAAAATGTTGCACACTCATCAGATTTGTGACATTCAGAAATTGATCCTTCTGGACGAGCTCGATTATGCACAAATGACTTCAATCGCATGAAGTACCTAGGGAAAAGAAAGGGGAAGATAGAGCTAAGTAGCTAGGGAAAAGGAAGAGTAAAGTAGCTAGGATCCAGCAGGCTGTCTAATTTAACTAGTAACAACATAGGCAGCCAACAGGCTGTCTAATTTATATAGATATCGATTAGCACAGAGTTTGATGACTTACCTTTCTAAAGGGTACATCCATCTAGGATGTACTGGTCCACCAAGTCTCACCTCATCTACTAAGTGAACCATCAAATGTACCATTACTGTGAAGAAAGATGGCAGAAAAGTTTTCTCCAAGTGGCAAAGAGTTATGATAACCCGATTTTGGATCTTGTCAAGCTCATTAACATTTAAGACCTTTGAACACAATGCTTTGAAGAATGCAGCAAGCTCAACAACTATGTAACTCACTTCTTTAGAAGGACTACATGCCCTTAAGGTTTCTTTAGTGGAAGCATCATACGTGGCGACACCCTCCCATAGTTTCAATAAATCAGCAATCATAGGTTGTAAGTATATATCAATGTCTTGACCAGGACCCTTAGGTCCAGGAATGATCATTGACACTATATAATTACTTTATGAAAGGTCAGCTCTTATCACTTATACTACCTACCAGCAGTCTAGCTACTTAAAATGGGTTACAAGAATCAAAGAGCAAAGCAGAAAAGAAGCAAGTGATGAGAAAACCAATGAAAATGGGTTACAAGAATCATCCGAGTTTAATCTCATATCCAAATTCCAAAACGTCTGTTAATATGGGTCTTTTATTTTACCATCTCCCATTAACTTTCCCCAACTCACAATCCAAATTCCAAAACGTCTTTACTAACTCATCCAAAAGGGAAAGTGTCCTTTCTACTACAGCCTGCACAAAGCAATTCGTCCCCTTTCTGTATTTACTCTCACACCCTGTTTTCATCTTCTCTACAGAAATTGACAGTGTTTCTTTTTTGTACAGCGTTCACATTGCATATAATTCAAGCTTAACTCTCACACATCCACGCCATAGCTAGTAAGTAAGTTGGTTTTAACCATTTGAGCAAGTTTTGGTACTAGTGAAGTAGACTTCCAAGCATGCCGAAACCAATATCAAAATTAACAGGTTTCATGGTTAACACTTTCCCTTAAAACCACCTACACTACAGGTTTCACACTTAGTTAGCTGGTTATACTCAAAACATGATCAATTTAGAAGTTAACCAAAGAATTCAAGAGACACTTCATAACCTAGGAATTATGGAATCATAACCATGAGATCAGTTCGGTCATAAATCATTCATATACCTTAACTATGGTGATAGAGTTCTATTATTAGCGAGAGCATAGAATCAATAGAAGATGAAGAGCGATGGACTCACACAAGTCGACAAAATTCACAATCAAATCTCGCCGATGTTGTTGATGTTGGTGAACGAAATTCAAATGTCGCCGTTGATCCGCTTCTCTCTAATTTGGACTCTACATTTTCAGCAATCCACACGCACAATCAAATCTCCAAATCCAGAACTGAATAAGGCTCAAAATTAGGTTAGAGAGAGTACCAGAAGATCGAAAACTGTGTTCTCCGTTCTTGGTCGACGGAGAAGATGACTGACGGTGGAATCTCTGGCAAGCTGAGGAACACTAAAATCCCAAACTGACGAAGCGTCGGAGTTCAATTTCGCGGAGAAAACGACTGAAGGGGGAATCCCTGGCAAGAAGAGCAGCACCAAAAGCTCACACTGACGACGCGCCGGAGTTTAAGGTCGACGGAGAAGATGACTAAAGGCGGAAGCTCGGGCAAGAGGAGTAGCACCAAAAGCGCACGTTGACTACAGATCGGAGTTCAAGGTAGACGGAGAAGGCGACTGAAGGGGAAGCTCGGGCAAGAGGAGAGCTCTTGCTCGATAGAAGTCATTTTCCAATTGATAAAATTTCCCAATAATCTTTCTTTTAGAGAAAAAAGTTTTCCATTATTTTAACATTGTGTTGTTTGAAAAAGAATAAAAAAATGTGTTGGGCTCTCAACAGGGGTATAAAAACCGCTGGACCAGACTGCTGCCAAAAGTGTGCAATACAAAGCCCATAAGCGTTTGTAGAAACCGCTGAAAGGGAATCCCTGCCCTTGGGCCCATTCTCTTGTAGTGTTTATTCCTTGGGTGCCTTCAAGTCTCCAACCCATTTGGAAATAAAGTTTCAGTTGCTATTTTTTATTTCTTAAGAATTAACATATGGGATTTTATTGAAATCAAATGAAAGATTCCTCAAGGGGTACAACATCAGCTATCATTGTAGGTAATCTATTCTTTTCATACTAACAAAACATCACTAACGGTTGTTACATTGGCAATCTGGTGAGCAACGACGTTGTTCGCTTCCTTGTAGATGAATCTTCATTCTCTGATGTCCAGGCCCCGAAGCCACCTCCCTGATATTACTGGAAACACTTCCAAGCTCTATTTTGCCACTGTCTTTTTCTTTCAGCAACTGAATCACTTTTTTTGTAGTGGGATTTATTCTATGAATGACATGGGAGTACCTTAATTCCAGCTATTAAGTGCTAATCAAGTGGGAATCGTTATATGAATGACAAGAGAGTATCTTAATGCCAACTATCAACAAAATGGGGAATTGGGGATTTGACCTATGTCCCCATTGGCACATCTAAATTTGGCCACAATCCCCATTTCTAGCTAATGGAAACAAACCTTTGTGCCTTTGCTTGGTAGGAACTGGGAACTTCCCCCTTCTTTTTTCTGGGCTATGCCTGTCCATGCAAACCTTCCTGATAGGACAACATAATAATCAATAATGCATAGATATATTTTTCATATCAACTTTATTTATTTGAGACATTAACGAACATGTATTAGTTTTTTTTATATATAATAACCTCTTACAAGGTGTTATTAGAGGGGAAGGGGAAGTGTTGTCACTGGGAATCGAACACACAACCTTACAATAGGAACTGCGCCGATTCACCAGCTAGACTGGACTTCGGACGAACATGCATTATTAGTCAAACACATTAGCAGAGTTGACAATGTGAGATATATAGCCTTAGGGGAAAAAAGAAAAACAATAAATTACCTTTCTCCTATAAATTCAACTCAGTCATCTTGTAATATTTGGATATTTTCTAACCAAGATATTATCCCATTTGGACCTACTCCACACGGTTTTGCTTTCAGATGCATATCTTGGTGACTATCTAGGAGGTCACTCATCTTTGCACTGCTTCATATTGAGCACGTTTAACTTAAAAGTTCATAGGGTACATGAACTCCATTTCACTCTAGAACGAGTATTATCAGTTGAGATTGCATGTTACTTGTGCATCATAAATATCTCATACTTTCTCTATGTCAGATTTGCCTATCATGAATCCTTAACCCATCCCGGTTGCGAGTTAGTCTAAAGAAAAGCAATAAATCTTTAGTAATAGGTGGGTGAAGAAAGCTTTTCATAATTGCATGCATATGGGATGTCTGAACTTTGAAGAGATCTCCACACATATTTCTTCAAGCACTAAACAGGCAAATTGTAGTGCTCTCTCTCCCCTCCTCCACCCATCAATGAACGAACGAAATAGTTGGGTCAGCCAAACCTAATTATGGCCAAAAGAACTACATAAAAGTAAAGGGATGAACTGAAATGAATGAAGTAAGTCATATCACAACACATACATAAGAAGAGTTTAGTCGTCCTTCAGATCTCTTCAGGTTGCTAATAGTACATATGCATATATATATTTTGCTGGTCCCTTCCAATTCCCCAGTGGACCCTGGAAAACCTACAATTTCCTTGGATGCCCAACAAAGTGCCTCCATTTCTTCTCTACTTCGCTCTTTAGTAGCCCTACCCCTCTTGGATATGCTTGTTCATCATATTACCAACCATAGAAATCACATCACCAAAACAAACCCCTCAACTTGCCTACCTAAAACTTCCTTCGCCAGACCGTCTTCCAGAGCTTCTCATCCTGGTCTTGAGGCTGCGGAGTGATGAGGGTGAAGGCCGACCTGGTTGAGAACTTTCCGTCCGGGGAAGCAGTCCAGAAGAGAGTGTCCTCTTCGTTAGAGAGCGTGTCAACAGCCACACTAAGAATCTTCTGGCAGACCTCGGTAGGGAGGAAGGCCTCGAACATGTCTGTGCGCCAAGCTCCATCGGCTGTCACGTACTCAGCCACCATCATTTGCTCCATATCCTCAGCAACTTGCGTAGTAGCCACCTCTTTCAGGCTCCCCTGCAAAACCCAAGGATCCAACCAAAACTTAGTGTGCTTACCATTCTTAATGTTCCAAGTACACCCCTGCTTTAACACATCAGCAACTTTAGAAAAGTTTTTCCAAGTGAAGGAACTTCCTTGAGAACTGCAAAGGATGTCCAGGTTCTCCCTTTGACGACCGTATTTGGCGTGCATGATTTGAGACCAGAGAGTCTCCTTCTCTTTGATGAGCCGCCATCCCCCTTTAGCGAGCATGGCCAGGTTGGCCTGTCTGGTAGGGCGGATGCCCACCCCTCCATGCTTCTTTGGCACCGCCATTTTATCCCAAGCCACCAGGTGCATCTTGTTCTTATTCTCCTCCTCCGCCCATACAAAGTCCATGTTCATCTTATCAATACTGTGACACACTCCACTGGGTATAAGCTCAGTATTCATGTGATAAACCGGGATAGAAGCAGAAACCGAATTAACCACTGTAAGCCTCACGGCAAAGGATAAACGTTTAGCTTTTCAAGGCGCCAGCTTCTTCTGGATGCGAAGGAGAAGGGGCTGATATCTCTCTCTAGTCACGCGCCCATGAATCGCCGGGATGCCCAAGTACTTGCCAAGCGCCATTTTCAGAGGGATGCCCGTTTGCTGAAAACTAAAGGTAACTATTTTATGTTTGACAAAACTTCAAGAAATAATGTTATCTCGACTGTTGAGAGATTTTTTATGCTCCACCAATAGAGTTTTACTAGCAAACAGTTTTGTTTTTTGAAATTGTGAAATAGAGATGTGGGGTTTTCCGTTTTTATGGCCAATGAATGCTGAATGCGGACAGGTAAGCGCAGATGATAAAAATGATAAGGAGATGTTACCATTCCAATATCGCGAGAGTAAATCGGAGAGGCTCTCAAGATTGCCAAACGAAGCTTCAGCTGAAATGGGTAGCTCTGACATGGAGTCCAAAGGGCCAGAACTGTTCGAAGTTGGACCGTCCAATGATGGCTACCAGATGGGTTTGCTGATAGGTCAGAAGTTCAGCAAGGAGATAAGGAGCCGGTTAGCAGGAGACCTTATTCTTCAGAATCAGCTTCGCCCTTTTGCTCAAACTCCACAAGGAAAGCAGCTTATCGAGGCCCTCTCTGATAACAACAGGAACAAGTTCCCCAGATACTGGGATGAGCTGTTGGGAACTGCAGCAGGCAGTGGAGTTTCTCTTCTTGATGTATGGTAAAAGATGCCAAAAGTTAATTATCACAATCAAAATTTACAATGAGAAGAAAGGGTTGTTAAAGTTTAGTTTCTGCATTGCAGGTGGTCTTGATCAATTTCAGGAAGGAGATTCTGCCATTCGTTCCAAAGACACTACAGGTGTCGAGCCCTGAATCTGTCGATACTATCGATGACTGTTCGGATGTTCTCGTTGTCAGTGAGGATCTGGCCATTGCTGCCCACAATGAGGATGCTAATGTGGCTTTAGTTGATCACATGTAAACTTTGCCGCCACTTGAATCACATGTTTTTTGGGGGGGTTTGTTATCCGGGTTAATTACTTACTCTGGCTCAGGATGTTTACAGCTATCTGATCAAGGCAAAATTGCAGAATGGATTAGTGTTTGTTGGGTATACATATGCAGGGGAGCTTCCAAGCTGTGCATTTGGGTTCAATACTCATGGACTGGTAATTCCCCTCCCATTTAATTTTAGGGTAGCTTTATACAAGTTGAAAGTTTTGCATTTCATTTGCTGACTTGAAAAAGAAATCTCATTAGGCATTCACATTGAACTCAGTGCCTCCATCAGAACATGAGATAATGGCTGGAGGAATTGGAAGGAACTTTGTCTCTAGAGACTTACTAGAAGCAACAAGCATGGCTGATGCACTCAGAGTAAGAATTGGGTCCTGCAGCAGAAAGACTGTCACTGTGAATCATAATTACAGAGTTAACGAGTTGAACTTCTCTTTCTGCAGATCATACATTCATGTGAAGTTTCAGTAGGGCACTGCTACAACCTCATCTACATGCCAGACAGAAAGATACTGAACGTTGAAACAGCCTCTAGAAATCGGGTTTCAGTTCGCGAGATTGGAACAACGCCATTCTTCCATGCAAATATGTATCTCCACCTTCAAGTCGATCAGGTGACGAAATAAGAAATGTCAATGAGATATTTTTCTACCAAAGAAACTGTAATTGAATCATTTCATCTGCAATAGGTACAAGATGACAACTCAAAATGCAGGCAAGAAAGAGCAGCTGTTCTGGCGAAAACATCAAAGGAGGATTTCTTGTCAATTCTAGGAGATATGGGGGACAAAAGATACCCCATTTACATGAATGGTAACAAAATGGAAATGCAGGACCTTTGTTCTTCCTATTCAATCAGTTCACTTGTCAATCTCACAGCTTTGCCTTAATTCCAGGTCCAACTCTATACACCCTATGCACAGCAATTATAGATATCGATCAACAAACGCTATCAATAATCAAGGGGAACCCCAAGCATGGAGAAATCTCCCATGTCTTCTCCGTGTCTTCAGCAGATTCCAAGACTTTGAAATAAGAACAAGACCCGGCAGCCAGCAGGAAGTCGGCAGCAATTACCCCACACTTGGCATCAAATTTGACTTGTTTATTCTTTCCTTTGTAGACCCTTTTATGCTGGTTCATAAAGCCCTAAGACATGGCCATCCATACAACGCATGGCAGCTACCTGCTACAAACAAATATATTTTCTGTTGGGTATCTTTCTTGCCTCCATTGTGGCAAGACATAAGAGAGCGGTTTCAGTAGTTTTAGCTTCAGAAAGATGTTAAGCAGGAAGATGGATTACCTTTCCATGAATTTCATACTTGATGGGTCCATCTAGCTCTGCGCCTAAAGCCATCAGCTTTGTCACCGTACTATTGATATCAGTGACTGTAAATGATAGCGAAGAAGAATACCCCTTCTGCGGAACATTGTCACTGAAAAAATAGGGGTCAGCAGCCGGCCCTCCACTGCAAAGCCAGCAAACAAGGAACTAAAACATTATTATGACACGATTTCCATCTTTTCCACCCAGAAAGGATGTTGCCTAGGCGATGTACGATAATAGCAATGTTCAAAAAGTCAGTGATAGCCGGCCAGAAGGTCCCTATTCTCTTCAATGTCCAGCACCAGCTAAACAACACGTAAAAGCACAAGAAACAAGCGACAATCCTCAAGCTTTCGTGACAGCAGTGTTAATCTGACTCTCAACGGAAAACTGAAATACGGGAGCTCTCAGAGACAAATGATCGAACATCTAGCAGGCAAGCATCCAATTACTGGAGAAGATAGAACTTTACTTGATAGATTGCATGAGGGCGAGCTTCAGAGGCCCGGACTGAAGCTCAGCCCACCGTAGAGTGCATACATTGACAGTGAAGTCTAGACCTTCGGAGTAGAAACGAGCGGCCTTGGGCACATCCTTGTGAAGTTGTAGAATCCACCTGAGAGAGGCCGCCGCGGCCATCCTTTGCCCTGTAATTCCGACGCTCTTAGCTCACCGATAACACCTTGGTCCTTAAGCTCCTGACTCGACGAATCCGGGCCCGCCTCGTGGGTTCCGGTGAAAGGCCGAGAAGCGGCGGAACCGAGCTCCGGAAGGACGCGGTATAGCTACCGAGAGATGTCAACTGGTCAATGAGGAGTCGATGGTAGCAAAGCAAGCAGGAACCCAGTCACACAAGATACACTGTGCTACTTGGGCCTTATGTCAGCCCAAAGATCTTGTTTAGTTTTGGGCCATTGCAAGCCCAACATGATTGTTCTTGAACAACTTTCTGAGGAGTTAGAGGCAGCGCATGTCAACCAGAACCATTTTCTTTTCCTACAAGAAATCCACAACCACTGGAATCGAAGAGTGTTACCAAGATGAATAAACAAAAAGCTTTACATGCCAATAGTTTCACTCATGTACGGAAATACGCGTTGCAAAAATAAATCACAGAACGACTTAGGCCGACAACATATATGTGGTAGGATAACTCGGCTGATCTCGCAGCAGTCAAATTCCAACTTCTTTCCTAAGACGGACCTCTGAACAGTTTCAATCGCGATCGAGGACCCCTGGATCTCGCCTCGAGTAGCTTCGCCTTCAACGTGCTGTCCTTGGATGCCGGAGGTAATTTCGTGGACGATTCCGCCACATCAGGATCCGTTGTGGTGAGTTTCGCCATCCACTGCCTCACTGGACTAGCAGCAGTCCTTCGAGATGGATAGCTAGAAGAAGCCTCCCCTGGATCAAGATGCAGGTTTCCAGCTTCTGAAGCTGCTGAGATGTGACTCTTGATCAGGTTATCCATCGCGTAGTTAGAGTTTGACTCGTGGATCTCGTCGGTGGCCTTGTTTCTCCTCTCGTTGGTACCACCGCCGCCTTCTGTGGTTTCGTAGTTTCCACTTGGTTTCAATTCCACCAAGTCCACCATCTCTGGGTTCTTATCGGCAATGGATGACATCATCGCCCTGACCATCTGTTCTTCGAATTTGACTTGCAAGCTTGAAGGACTCCGGCTTTTAACTCTTTCACGAGATGATGAGATGAGCTTTTTCTTGTCTTCATGTTCATGTTCATGTACATTATAATCATTCTTCGACGGTTTGTTGAGCTCAAAACACTGAGAATCACTGCCCACAGAATCATCATCTTCATCCCCTACATCCGGAGGAGCACTCACGGCCTTGAAGGGGACAGATTCCATTGAATTCCGCCTTTCCTTTGGGATCAATTTATCCATGTTTTTGGAGATTGCCATTCTTCTTGCCTTAAGAAATGTCTCTATCTCGAAACCTAACTTGTCAACTATTGAGCTGTTTGTGGAGTAACCATGCTGCCGAGCTTCTTCATCTAGTCTCATCTGCATGATCCTCTCATCAAGCCATGACTCGGATATATGGAGAATCAAGCGATCATCGCCATCATTGCTTCTTCCAACCCAGTCATTGTGATCAGGTTTCTGTTTCATTGCATGATGCAGTTCCTGGTCGTACTCCTTTATCCCCCTAGCGAACTCATCACAGAGATCTTCCAAAAGCATTCTCGACTTCCTCTCCTTTTCCATTTCTTTCAGTGCATTGGAGAACGAAGATTTCACTTCAGAAAGCTCTCGGGATAACTTCCTGTGCAGACCCTCTGACCTTCTCCTCAACTTCCTCTCGTCTTCTACCTCGTCCCTCAGAGACTGAACTGCAGCATGCAACCGATCCTGTTCCTTGCTTTTCTTGTGTTCGTTGATTTGCTTCATTAACTCATCCATCTCACGTCGATCCGAATGTTGATCACGAAGGAGCTCTTTGATTCTGATGCGGGAATGGTCTAGCTCTTTCTTCAGAGCTTTTACCAGTGACATGTTAGATGCATGCTGCTCCTCCAAGCTCCATATTCTGTTCAACACTTTTAATAGCTCTGTGGAAGTTTTAATATTATAGCGCGACTCGCCAACCCTCCCCTTGAATTCTACAGAGCTGGTTGGTGTCATTGCAGGATTATAAGGCGCCATCTGGACTTGCAAAGAAAGGAATAGCAGATAATGAGAAATCTTGGACGGAAGCTCCAAAGGCAAAAGCACGAGGAAGAAACCAAAACTAAATGACACCAGAATGAGCAAAGACAGACATGCTTTGTTCAAATGAAACGCAAAGCAAGTGTTTGCTGAGACAATAGGTAAGAGTGAAGCCCATATGTCACACTTCAGACCGCATCATCGTTTTGGCACCATTTTAGCTAGAACACAACACAATAGGTGCTTGACTATAAGAAGAGAAAAGGTTTACCTCCAAGGAGCTGCCATAACTTGCAGGGGAAACAGGCTGCAGAGCATGATTACTTCTCTCGATCGACCGATGATGCTGAACCAGTGACGCGGCAATGTGCCTCCTCAGGCTGCCTGCACTCTCGGGCTGAACAAGAATTACAACATCAGGATTCAGAGAATCCAGCAAGAACAAGCAGCAACTACTCTTTTAAAATTCAGTCAAAGTCTTGCCACATCATCAACCCATCGACTGAAATCCACCTGAGTCTGGCAATCTTTTTTTTTTTTTTTTTAACATAACTGTTATGGCAAAATGCATTTATATAATCTTCACACAGCAGACCACCATATGCACCAAGAAAACCCCCAATTGCAGATGATTCAAGAAACAGGGATAGCAGAACTTCTGGCAATAATTCAAGTTTTAGATATTGCCTCCATCGAACCCTAAAAGCGATCCATAAAAATCCATCAAAAGAACCCAACACCGACAATCGCCCACAAACCCAAAATCACCCCACGATCCGGCAGCCAAATCAACAGACAAGCAAAAGTTGAAAGGAGCGCAAAGTAACGGAAGTAGCATTACCTGATCAGGAGAGCTGGGAGAAGGGTCAGGCAAGAAGCGGGAGACATCAATACCCTTGCCCTTAAACCCACGGTGACGACTCTGTTGGCGGTGGCCTCCACCTCCGCCGCCGCCGTTACCAGTAAAATTGGCGCCCCTGTGCATCTTAGAGAGAGGGCGGTAGTGGTGGAACTCCCAGACGGCCGCGGCAAGCTTCCTGGCGGAAACGGTTGGACTGTTTCTGCTTCTGCTGTAACCCGCGGTGAAATCACGAGGAGAAGAAGAAGAAGAAGAAGAGGGAACAGGATCGTGCTGGTTCTTCTGGTGCTCTACCTCACGGACACGGAGCCAAAGTCTAACGGGAGTGGAATCAGGGGGATGGCCCACTGATTGGAGCTTCTTCAACTTTAGAGCCAAAGTTTCCTTCTTTTCCGCGGACGGCCCTGCCCCATCTCTGCTTTTCCCCACTTCACCACCTTCTTCTTCCCTTTTCATCATTTTTTCCAATTTCCCCTTTCTCTCTCTCTCTCTCTCTGTTTCAAAATTTTAATCCTTCTTTAATTCTCCATGTTCATATTGTTTCCTTTTGGTGAATTGGGTTTTTTCTGTTCAAGCTTTCCATGGGTGGTGGCTTGAACCCTCGAATCGAAGTAAATAGGGATGAAGAAACCGGAGAGAAGGGGGAAAGCTAGTTGCTTTTGCCTCGTTGGGGCGGGGGATTACCTGTCGTGTATTTAGTTACCCACGAAACGATCACCCGCCAATTTCCCAGTCATCGTTCACTTTGTTTAATAATTTCCCGTCCCATGCCCCATCAGGGCCATCACCATTCCAGTTGCAGTTGTCCCATATGACTGCCGTACCTTTTGAGGTGAAAAGTTAAAAACTTTACCATGGGAATAACCTTTGGATTGCGGGAAATAGAAACACCAAGAATGTAAGTTACTGGTATAGTATACGGTGTTTACGATAATAAACTAGAGTTGAGAAAAAGAAGATTCAGCCATGGCGGATCTGCTCTCTCTGCCTCTAGTACTAGTAATAGCTAGGCGGGTTGGTCATTTCTTGCCGTGTGGGGATTGCCTTCTTCTGCCAAATCTTCCATGTCGAGGGAAAACTAGATTTTTCAAAGGCACTTTCGTTTGAACTACTGAGTACTACCGACTACTGGGGAGTCTGGGAGGCTTTTTATCTCCACTCTCCATGATACGACTGGTGTGGTTTACTTTCACTGCGTCGGCTGGGTCTGGACTGGGCTCAAGGCTGCTGGATTCCGGCCCACGCTCCCCTCGTTGCAGCACGGCCTGGGCTCAGTTGTAACAGTTGTATGGGCTTTTGAAGAATCGTAACTAAAGTTGGTCACGCTAAATTAACTGGCCAATACTATACTATGGTGCCGCGATAAAAAATGCGACACCGATAACGCGATTTTTAATTGGTCCACGACTTCACGTGGAATGTGATGTGGCATGGCTGGATTTACTAATTTCCAACCCACTCGTTTGGCCCATGAGAAGGGCTCATACCGTCTCTTTCAAACTAACGAAAAAAGTGTTCCGTTATATATGTTTTTCTGTTTTTTCTTTCATTAATTTAAATTCAGGTATCTGCAATTAATTTTTGTTTTTCGACAGAAACTTATAAGAATAACGAACAAACACAATTCTTTTTTTCCTCGATGCTCGATCCCCTCTCCAGCGGTGTCTCCGAAATCAGTCCGACGCCTTCTGTGTCGTCCATCCCATCTCCAGGTTCGACCTAAAGCCTCGATCGAAATCCCTCATTGTTCCCTCCTACTTTTATACCGTAGAACAGAGGCGAAGGAAATCCCTATGGTATGTCATCACACAGTGCCTCTGTCTAAGTACCAAGTGATCCGAAGTCAGTGAAAACTCCCTCTGCGTCGCCCGCCTTATTTTTCACCGTCTCTATTACAATCGTGGAAACCAAGTTGTAGGCGGTGCTGCTGAGAGTACAGAGTCATGATAGTTCATTTGTTTATATGTATCTTTATGTTGTTGTTGGCTTAGACAGTACATCAATTGAGGTTGCATAAAATGTGATTTGTGAATATCTCCATGGTCTGTTTGTTTGAGGTAAGTTAAAAGTTGATGGTGGAAGCATATTCTGTTCATGAGTGATCTCCTACTATATAAAGCAAGTACAATATTTCACTATGATACTAATTTTCAGGAGCTGAATCGTCAAGTGCTAATGCACACTTGGGTGCTGACTTCCTGAAAATTTGTGCTTGTTTATTTTGTTTGACAAGTCAGAAATATAGAATGACTGAAATTTGACCATCTATCAACAGGCATTCTCGATATGAACTGAATACAAAGAATCAACGTTCTTAACCTTAGAACTATGAGAATGAGTGATTCTTCAAAATGTACATAAGAAAGCTAGCAAATGAACACCTGCAACAATTAATCAACTTGGACTCTTCTGTCCAGTTTTGATAATCCGCTTCAGCCACTTCTTTTGCGGTCCATCTTTCAGTAAACTGGTCTGACTGCCTCTTCTGCCTTTTAGGGTTCTAACATGGTTTTACTTTTACCTACCCGGGAACAAGATCATGTTTTTACCTACTATCAAACTATTATGGCATTCTAAATGGATATTGTGTTTGCAGCACAAGACTGTGATGTATTTTGTCGTCTCAAACATAAGCTATGCGAAGAAAAGGCAAGCTATTTTAAATAAAAATGTACCTAATGTGATTAGTTATGGGATGGTCTAAACTTACGAGTGTACCTCAAAGAACACAGGACAGTTTTGTGAATCCTTCAAGAGCATTGACTAGCAACATCCTTAACATGCAAAACCAAAGAGGCAATTAGTCAAAACCAAGAATCTTATTCTTCAATTCCGACGTTACCTTTATGTCAAGAATGGTACTGCATTTGTCACAATGGAAAGTTCTCCTCCCCACCAGTTCTGCAACATAAAAATTACAAACAAAAACACACCATGAGTAAAGAAAGGGAAAACTAGCATTGTCATCCTCAATGGCAAGAGATGGTTAAGGTATGAGTAGTAACCTACAGATGCCGCATTGGCTGCAAGCTTGCAATGGTATTGCTGCTTTGAGACCTGGGGAAAAAAGAACCGGTTGCATTTTTTACTGACTGAGGAGGCTAAAATGAAATGTGAACATTATTTTTGAAGGACTGAGGAAGCTTTACATCATCGTCAAAGAACTTGCATTCCGAGCATAAGTGCTTCCCCATGCAAAGTCCACATTTGATGAAGTGTTGTTGAACCTATTATATCCAGTGTTATGAAAATCGGGCCGGACCGGCCGGGTCAACCGGAAAAAATCGGACCCGGACACAAAGCCGGTCCCGGAAGTCTAAAAGCGGGCGGGCGGGCTTGCGCATCAAAACTGCCGCCTACTTTTGGCTTATGGGATTTTAATGTACTTAATAATTAAAAAAAAAGAGGATAAAGGTGAGGGAACCGAGAGATTGCCACTAATTCCTACTGCTGCAATGGGAAAACCACAAATAGAAAAGTCTACTCATGTTCTGGTCATACTAACAGAACAGATGACCAACTAATCTCTCAAAACAACTTGTATGTAATTACCTTCACAAACTTTTCTCTCGTTTCTAAGTTCTAACTATTGAATTGAGCTCTGCCGCCGCCTCCGCCTCCGCAGCAACAGCAAGGGGTGCTTCCGTCACAGACTTCGCACCCACAGTTCCAGCTGCCACTCTCGCCGCTGCCGTTTGGGTGTTTGAATTCGCCTCGGTCTTCGTACCCGCTGCTTTCACCGACTGCTTTCCCTCTCTCGCTGACAGTGCCTGTACCCAACCGGAGATGGAAGGGGCTCTGAAAAGAATGTTGCTTTTCTGTCTCAGTGCCAGGTCGCCGACTGATTCCTATTCGTTGCCCGCCGACTGAGAGGTATGTTTGTTTTACTAGATATTTTTATCGCCTCTGTGCGAAATCGCCGATATCGGCGTTCAGCCAACGGGCCGATGTCTGGGCATCTTTCGTTATGGAAATGAAATCGTCACCACTGGCAGACATCTTTCATTATGATAATTTAATAAGAATTAGGGTAGAATTATCGCCTTCGTGATACTCGCGGTCTTCGGCCGTTACAGTTCCAATGGCGAGCGCCTACTCCATCGCTCCCCAGGCGGTTTGAATTCTTGATCTATCTCCTCGTGGGACTCGGTCTCGGTGGTCGTCGACCGTTGCGCCATCGTGCGATGCCGCTCAGGGCTCTCCCTCGTTCTTTCTGTAACACTGACGTACGTTCTCTTTCAGCTTCTAGGTGTGAAGTTGGTTGTGACTTTCCCATTGGCTGGTTCAGGCGGGTTCACGCTTTCTGAAGCGGTTGTTCTTATCCATGATCTGAAGATTGCGTCTGGTAAGTTAATCATCTTTATCGTGCTTTGAATAAAGCAAGTAACATATAAGTATTAATTAATTAGACTACAACTTATCCCTAGATAAAACTCAAGAAGGTAAGCGATAAGTTGGATTTTGAGTATTTATTTAATTCTTTACTTATTGCTTTTAATTTAGTAGGTTACACGTGTATGCCTTACTTTCTTTTGCTCTTATCCTAACATGCAGAATTGCTGAAGGTAAGCGGTCAATTGGCCTTTGAGTTTTTTTATTTACTTATCGCTTTAAATTAGTTACACTGATGTGGGTGGATAAGCATTCACTTTTGGTGAGGGAGATGGATAAGTGCTTTTGCGTTGCCTTTTTGGGTTCTTTCTAGGCCGTTTGCTAGCAGGGGTTGGGCCTCGTTTTTTGTTTGTTTTTGCAGGAATTCTTGGTCAAGGCGGGCTACATTTCTGGACGCAGATTATAGGATGTGGAGAGGACACCCGTAGGCTTCATATCTTGTTTTTATTTTGCAGGAGAAGCTGCTATGCCTTTTGACTAATTGTTGGATATTTTCAAGCAGCAATGTGTATGCAGAGAGCTTAAGGCGATATGGTGTAACGGCGGAAATATATCCTTTTTTTAGGCTTTAGTGTTTTATCACTCTCTTCTTAGGAACTAACAGAGCTGCCCATTTAGTGGCATATAGGGCTCTTTCATCGCCAGATCGATTAGTATCGACAGACGTTATTTTTACCTATTGTAAACATATATGTCTACTATTTCATCTGACTATGATAAAAAAAAATTGGGAAAATAAATTAAGGCAACTTATTTTATTTATCATTTGACATTTTTCTTAATTCTTACTCTATTCTTCTTTCTTTTATTTAGAGCCAAGTACCGGTTTGTAATCGGTTTTAATACCGGTTAATCAACGGTTATCCGATAAACCTTTAACCTCTCGTTATTCCGGATCGATGTCTGGTTCGGTTTTGACAACACTAATTATATCTGAGGAGAAGTCAAGAAACTGGGTTTCCCAGTGATGTAGCACGCCTTTACCTACACGGGAACAACATCACTGGTAACTCCTAATAATGCAACTTCTCCAGCTACCACTACTTCAAAGTGGAAATAACATCTAA